TCGCAAAACAATGGTGTTTAAAAGATGAGCTTAAAATAAAGTTGAAATTCCTCTGCGAACGTGCTGTGTCTCGCAAGGGTGAAAAGTGAACAAGCTCTTCGGGGGGTGCACAAGCGCGAATATTAATGTGCACAAGAAAGTTTATATATAAATATATATATATATGCACGCCCGCATGTGCATGCACAGTTCATGCTAAGAAAAGAACCCCCTCTCCCAATTTTCGCCACCCCATGTCGCGAAATACATACCCACATTAACCCCAACACATAACGTATTCTTTTTCCCCGAACGGACGCATCTCGGTATGTGCGGTGGGTCTTTCGCTCCATTTTGCTAATGCACAGGAATTCAAAAAAAAAAAAATTTCAGAGCAAATCCCGTGCTAATGGTAATGTCCGTATAATGTGGATAATTTTTTTTTTTTTCTTTTCCAATTCTGTCGACGCGGTTCCCGCAAAATATGGTAACGAGGAAAAAAATGGGGACCTCCCTATGTACATATGTCCCATTAAGTTATGTCCCCATGTGCGTCCATATATGCGCGCATTTTCAAGGACACATTTCCCGCATGTATTTGGTGTACCTCAACCCGTGTGCCATTTCCACGTGTACACAATTCGGCACGAGGGCATAAACGGGTAGAAGCAAGTTTTATCCTTTTTTACATGTTTGAACCTTTTTATACCTGTCGATGGGTTTTACACCCTATCGATGCTCCCTCAATTTGAAGTGCAGGGACGCACTCCTCTTTGTCGTGTGTACATTTGCACATTCGTGTGCGTGTCAACAAATGGCATTTTGCTCAACTCCTCTTTGTCCGCACAGCATTTTGCATGTTCCGAGGTGGCAGTTAACTAAAAAGACAATGTGTTGCTCTTATTTGCGCAAACAAGTGAAACCAATAAAAAACGAAGCTGCGAGACGACTGTAACCGCACAAAATATAACCACCCATGTGAAGCAATTCCCTATTTAGTAACCCTGAACGCTGCCTTAAAAAATTTCATATCCTTGCGCATACCAATTGGCATATGTGCCAGCTTTGCTAAACATGAACATATGCGTACCAATCGGAGCTCTTACAGGATAGTAAGACACACGGATGACATAACCCACCATGGGATGACCACTATTGGGTTAAAAAAAAAAAAAAAAGCTACCTCATTCGGCATGGATTTATCATTTTTGCCATAAAAGTGACACCAGTTGCCTTACCACGTGGTGTAAGCCACAATGGTGTGCTTATTAACCATTTTAAAATTCTTCAAACGCGAATATTCGTTTAACAGTCACATCTCATTATGTCTTTTGTGAGTGAAGAGTACGTATAATGTGGTACTCAACTCACCATACAAAATGTATAAACATACAGGTAGAGGGGAAAAAAAAAAAAAAAAAAAAAATCATAACAGTTCCCATCATGGGTATTCATATGTCTGAACCCTGAAACGGGCTTTCACTTTTCTTTTTAACCTTTTAGACATTTAAAAGAGAAATGCAAACCATTGGGGACACAAATAAAATAGTGAGAATGTCCCCCAAAATGTAGAAAAAAAACTACAAAAGTTACAAAACAAATAAATATCATACTCGTTAAAAATAATGACTGAGTGGCGGGAGGATGCTTTTTTCGCCAAAGCACTTACCTCACTCATTCAGTTAGGTATATACTTGTCGGAAACTCATTACAGGAGGCTGTTTACTACGTCTAGTTATTTCTCCATCATAGCTCAAGCATTTACGAAAGTGTCCTTCGTTTGTTTCGTATCGTCTTTTAGGTATTTACAATATCACTGCGCGTAGGCCTATTCAGTGTCATTCTCCTCATCGTCACTGTCTTCCACTTTACTCTCTTTTTCTTCTTCCTCCTCTTCTTCTTTCTTTTTCTGCTTCTTCGCTTCCCGCGCCCGCTCTTCTTCCATTTTCTTTTTCCACTCGAGGGCCTTCTGAAATATCTTCATGTTCTACAAAAAATAAAAAAAAAAAAAAAAAAAAAACCAAATGGGAACCCGCAACACATGCACAATGCGGACAGGGGGCCCCCGCGCTGAAAGACAAAATGAAGTCCCTTCTCACCTGTGACTGGTTGCCGTCGTCCGGGAAAACGTATGTAATGAACTCCTCCACTACTTCATCGTCATCCTTCTTGATGATTTTTCTCTTCTTGACTTTCTTGGGTAATCGTTTCTGCGTTTTATCTATAACGTCCTTATCTCCGTAGTCTTTCTCAATTTCGTACAAAAAGTTCAGCAAAATACACCTTTCATTCACAAGCTCATTTTTCTTACAAAAGTCGATTCCGTTTTCCAAAATTTCTCTGCACTTGGCGATATCATCAAAGTAGATGTACTGAAACTCCGCGTAGCTTTTGTAGACCTGCAGTGGGGGGGACACCAATGAGTTATCGCCATCCGTGATGAGTTCTCAGCAATAATATATAATAGCGACCATGTCACCCATACAAACGCAATATAATACACACTCTCTCCCGCCCGACATGAAAACTGTACCTTATAATGCTGGGTTATATTTAAAAGACGCTCATACAACTTCTTCGCATTTTCGTACTCCTGCAGATTTATTTCCAAATCGATGTAGTTTTTCCAGATCTGTGCGGAAATGGGGGGGGGGGGGGGAAAAGGGGACACACATGTGGGCAAATATGTTACACGTAATAGCGTTGGTCTTTACCCAATGGGCCGATACAATGTTACATCAAATGAGGTTGCAAAATTGATGGCGCACACGGGGGCCCATTTTTTCCTACCAGCTCGGGCAGCTTTATATCATCCAGGTGGATAGCAATTTCTGCGATTTGCCGAGCTCTCTCCACCTCGTCCAGGGACAGCTCAAAGTTGATCATGGAAATCCAGGCCTGCAAAAAGAAGGGGTGGATGGAACAGACATGTGGAAGCATCGCTTAATATAACCTGCACAATGAGAATAACAACACGCCGTGTCCTCAACAACTACACCCCTGCACTTACCTTCGAGTTAAAGGGAAAAGCCTCAACATACTTGGCGTATATATCGCGGCACTCCTTAATGTTGCCTAAACGAAGTTCCATCTCGCAGTACTCCTCAAAGATTTCCTCCTGTTTTACACATTCGATGGCGCGGTTAAAAATGGATCGGACTTTTGGAATGTCCATCTGCCGGACTTCGAAGTTGGCATAGAGTAGGTAAATTTTCTTAAAGGTAAAATTTTGCTTCTTCAAAATTTTTAGCACATTTCTGTAAACATCTCTAGCTCTCTGCACATTTTCTGCATGCAGTTCCTCAAAAATGGCGTAATTAATCCACAAGTAAATGTATCTTTTCCAAAATTTTTTATTTGCCACAGGTGGGATAACACTAATGGCTCTTTCGTATAGCTCCCTGATGCGGAACACACACTTGTCCTTATTCATTAAATTTATATTCGACTCTTCTAACTTTATATAATTAAACCATGTATCATAGTCAGAAGGGTTTTTCTTAATCTCCTCCTCATAAGTAATCCTCTCCTTAATCAACAATGTCTCATCCAGTTCGTCTTTATCAGCATACTTCTTCTGAAATTGTAAAAAGCTTTTGTATAAAAATTCACTTTTGTTTTTTGGTAATATTTTAAGTGCCTCAATATAAATTTTCCTGCACCTTTCATATTCATTATTTTCTTCTTCAAAATTACAAAAATGAATATAGAAATGTTCATCCAGAAAAGATGGAGGTAACAATTCGATACACTTTTCGAAACATGCTCGAGCTCTATCCACGTTTTTATACTTCCTCTCAAATTTAATAAATCTGTAAAAACATTCCATCTTAGGTAGAGTTACAATAAGTCTTTCGAAAATATTTCTGCAATTGTCAATCTCCCTACATCTTTCCTCAAAATTTATATAACACAAAAATGATGTTTCGTCAATTTTCCACTTTACCCATCTTTCATATATATTTCTGCAGTTCACAAAATTGTTCAAAAGCTCCTCCAAGTGGGCATATTTTTTCCAGAAAATATTTTCCATAGGTAGCAACAGAACTGCTCTTTCGAACAAATTCCTAGCGCTGTTTATATTTTTATTCATTAATTCTACTTCTATATATTTTAACCACAAATTTACATTTGTGTAGTCTATATTTAATGCCCTTTCGAATATGGATCTTGCTCTTTTAATGTCCTTTTGCTTCACCTCCCAGAGGGCGTACTTTATGTACGTGCTAATGAGGTATCTTCTCTTCCTTATTTTGTCTTCATACTCTTTTCTCTTACTTATTTTGTATTCGTTCAACTCATCCTCGTCAATCAGGTTGTAGTTCACCTTCTGCTCGACTTCCTCCAGGTCCAGTGCCTCATTTATCAGCTGCTCCGCGGTTACCTGCACCTCCGCTGCGTTCTTGTTCTTCACCTGCGCGAGGGGAAAGCGGTGTGACGACGATGTGATGCACATGCGATACGCATCCTTCTTAAATACTCACATAAACCTAGCACACACGCACCTACAACTGGTGGCCACACCATACCACCGCCTCTTAGGCCCCACATATTACCTGCAACTTTTTGCTGTTCACGTTCATTGTGTCCTATCGCGTTTCCACAAAATTGAGTTTACACAAGGGGTATATACGCCCTTTCGAACAGAGCGCGCACAGGGGAAGAGCCCTAAGGACCACTGAGCGAAGCATAGTCTGTTCCACATAACCAGTTCGGCTACACTCTCATCCCCCTGTTCGCAGTAGCATAGAGGTCTGCCAAAACTGCTCAAAGGAAGCAACAAAAAAAATACTCAAATCAAATCGTTTCTAAGATAATTCTCGAGGCAAAATGGTAAACAAATTTCCCTCAAAAAAAAAAACAGGCGACTATTTTAACATGCGCTTTACTCCTATTATTCATAGCCTAATTCCCTTAATAATTTTCTCTACATTCCTGCAGCTTTGTTCCAAACCTGCGGCATTTTAAAACCCGCGTGAAAGAGGCCAAAAATGTTCGTCCGCTAACGCAACCAGAGAAAATTAAAAAGCCGTTTCGGAAATTCTCCAAAATGGCACAAACAAGGGGGACCACCACGCCTTTGTTGCACTCAAAATGTGAACTGTATGTTGAAGGAACAACTTCGCAAAAAAAAAAAAAAAAAAAAAAAAAAAAAAAAAAAAAAAAAAAAAAA